CCCCAAAACCCCAAAACCCCAAAACCCCAAAACCCCTTGATTTAAAAAGAATTAATACAAGATAAGAAAAATATTGTCATTATAAATTTCTAATTGCATGGCTGGTTTTGCGAAAAAATTACAGATTGAGGTCTTCAATAGTGCTGAGTCTCCTATTCCCGATCATTCTAATGGATCTGCTCCATTTATTTCTCCTTGATAGACCTAAAATTAAGTAAAGGAGGATGAATTAAGGCCCTACGAATTAAGCATTATAGATAAATATGTTGATCACTCTTTGTAAAATAAAAATCTCTCTCAAAATGTGATCAGACTAGCGGAATTAAAGACGAATAAAAGGCATTAATTAAATATAAACTAAAATTTGTAGGAGTAATCTCTAGACACATCAAGATCATTAGGATCAGTTTTAAGGGAGGAGATCAAAAGAGAAAACGGATGCTAGCTAAATCATAATTAAAACAGTTAACTATTTGAGAAATCTCATATTTAAGAAAGTCAAGAATAAAATCCATCAATCAGGAATAATGCCCTCAGTCATCATGCAGGATATTTACCGAATTGTGAAAACTTAAATAATGACAGTCTATTTGATTTTTCATTCGAGGACAGATTTGGATTTATAGAGGAGTTATAATTCAATAATGCTAATTAGCTCATCGCCCAAGTAATCTAAGAATTGCCTTATAATGAAAATTCATAAGTTGATATGAAGAACTAAAATGCACGGAATATATTAGAAAAGGCATAAGAAATTATTGAAAATTCTAATTCAACACTTCTTAATAGTCTCAGTTTGCTCAAAATAGAGATTCTTTCAGAACTTCAATAAAAGTCAGTAAAATATAAATTATTCCTGCATAATTTGCTTAATGAATAGAGAACTGTTTCCAACTAAAGTGAAAAAATAAAATAAAAAGAAGAGGATTTTAACCACGAAGTATAGGCTTTACTCAATACTATTGATGATCATTAAAAAGTCAATAAAAGGCTGAATAAGCATTACGTAAAAAGGCTAAAGATAATCTAGTAGGATTTGCTAAAACTTTAAAATATGATCTATGATGTAAACGGTGGAATGATTGGCTATAATGGAATTGTTATTAGCAACAATAATTAAAATTAGCTGCTTAATTCACTTGGAAAAGGAGGATAATCCTCATTGAGTAAATTAAATAGCTTTGGATAGAACCTAGTGAGTTTGAATCAAATGGGCAATCAGAGTTCAAGAAATTTTATTTAGGAGAAAACTTCTAGCATTTTAAATACAGCAAGAAATGGATTAATAAACAATCTCGCAAATCATACTTCTAATTAATCTTTAACAGGATTAAACTAGTTTTAATACTAAGTCCAACTTATACTAGAAAAACTGAATGAATTCATCGATGTCAAGGTAAGACTCAAGGATCCTTTGAATGAAAATGGGGCACATTTAGCTCCATCTTCAAGAGTTTAAACTGAAAGAACTTGGCATAACAAATAAATTAATGGCTAAAGTACGAAATAGCTCCTCAATTGTTAATCAAGTGGTAGACTTGATCAAGGTTTTATGCAGAATTCATCTAGGAGCAATCTAAACATGATATCCGCAAGAGGCCTACAGCTTAATGGGTTAAAGTCAATTTAATAGCAACAAACTAATAGAAGGAATGAAAATGGTCTTGAGATATTATGTGAAACTTGCCTGACTAATGAATATTCTATGTACAGCATACAAGAAGAATAAAATAATAATAAGGAAAATCAAAGTATTGGAATTAATTAGTCTAAGATAAAGTAATATCTAGGAGGTAGAGACATTAATGAGCTTACTCTAGTTGAAAAAGATGAAATCCTTACTAAGTATCATATGAAAGACCTTGAAAAATAGGAGCTCAAAGATGCTCAACATGTTAAATGGCAGGACATATTAAACTTTTAAAAACCAAAAAAGGAGCCCAGACAATTACAGCCAATACTATATAGAGAAAAATCAGAGTCAATTAAAGGTAGTGAAAATGATAACAATCTCGAGAGATCATAGAATCTTTAAAATTTACTCAATGATTTGAGTAAGATTGATGTGAAGACTGAAAAAGATTATGAAAATACTTATGGTAACAAAGAAAAAATGAGAGAATAATAATACTCATAAAATAAAAAACGATGCTCTCATAAGGATGATAGCCAAAAAAGTTTTGCAAATTCAGTTTCACTTGCTGATGGTATTTTGTCTCATAAGTCTAGCATTAATTTTACAGATAACTAACATCCACGAAAATAGTAAGTAAAGGTACCAACTTTAAATCTTGATAAAATAAAAAATCAGTAAAAAGAATTCTTCACAAAAAACATATAAAATGATGAATAAAACCAAAAATCTACAATTGAATCTAGAAAAGTAATGATACTAAATGAAGAGTCAATCTTCACAGAAATAAATACATCACTGATGCAACTCAGGGATGAAATAAAGGAGACTTATCCCTAGAAAGCAGCATCTGACTTTATAAATGTATCAAATAATGAAGCTGATGTATCTTTGATTAAGAAAGATGATTCTTAGTTGAATCAGGCTAATGACTAAACTTTAAATTTAAATGATAGTTTAGAGAATGAATATCAATAGCAGCAGCCGAAACTAAATCAAAGAGAATTAAGAGTCTAGTTGGGCCTTGTTAGCTTTGGTGAATCCTTGATCTTATCACCTATAGAAAAATAATAAGAAACGGGTTAAAAAAACAAATTCTTTTCAACAGATCAGACAAAATAAATTCAGAAACACCAACTGCAAATTCAAAGTTAATTTAATTATGATTAGCAATAGTATCCAGTGGTATATCCAGTTTTTTCTAATTAGAGTGAAAATCCATTCTACTCTGAGTAGTTAAAGCCCAGCAAATTATCTTATAACTGTGTATCTTCATCTGATTAAGCCTCATCATCACAAGGTTTCTTTAATAACCAAATTATAAATCAAGAAATCAACTAGTTGCTAAGCAATACAAGTAATAACAACAAAAGCAGACAGCAAAAACTAGAAAAGGACTCAAGCACTTAAAAATTAATATCAAATATAGATGATTTATTTAGTCCAGGAGTAAAAAATGAACCTTTAAATCAAATTGATAGAAAATAGAATGATTCGAAATCAAACGATAAGAAGAAAATTATAATAAAGAAAGCGGATATCAGTTCATTCACTAAATCAAATAGTGGAAGCAGGACAAAATAGGTGTAGATTAATTAAGTATCAAATTTTTAAGATAGCTAGGACAATACAGCATCTTTCAACAACTTCACATTAGGTTTATAGAATGTGAATAAAAAACTTAAGCAACAAGAGCAGCTTACTTAGCAGATATAATTTGGCAGAAGACTACAATAATCATAAAACCAGCAGCAAATTATAGCACAGTAAATCAGAAACCAACTGGATAATTCGAATGAAGAAATTAATACTAATGAGAATAGTATTTAGAAGTAAACTCCATCACCTGTAGTAATAAGACATAACAACAGGAAAATTCAGAGTAATGGGGTAAGACTCGCCAATCCGAGACAAAGCATGAATTGCAAAAATAAACCAGTCATTGCAAAATAAATGAACACCATATTTTCAAATAATGTTAACAATACGTCTAGTAATACGATTTCTAGCAACTAAAGGAACCAGCATTAGGGTATTCAGTCAGTATCATATATGAGTGAAGATTAGAAAAAGAATTACAACCTCAAATACAATAATATTGGAGGACAGAGTCAATTTAATAGTCAGCAGTAACAGCCTCAGATTAGTAATTTCTAGTAAATAAATGATTTACCCTCTGAATTATAATAGTTAACAGAGTATATATCCATTTAAAACTAATAATCTTAGAGATAATTACCCAAAACAACTAAAAACTAATCAATGGTGAAGCTAAATTCAATTAACAATACACTTAAGTTAGAGACAATGACCTTTAGTGAGGAAAGATTACCGGATTTAAGCTAGATCAAACAAGATAGCAATCGTCATATTATAAGGGATAGCTTTTAAAATTCAGTAGGGAATTAGTAAATTGACACGATAGGTGATTAAAGAATCTAAATAGCTAGTAGATAACTTAGGCAACTTTCTTAGTAATCAAAAAATAATGTGATGGATACTTCTAAAATAGATGCTGATACAAGTTTAAAAATGGTTCAATAACCTATAATAGTTAGAAGGCCAATGGTAAAGTTGAGCAAGTTTAATTTTAACAAGACTAGAAATGATTCATAAAATACAACTAATAACCTTGTATAAGCTTAAAATATTTCTACTCCAATGAATGTAACTGATAACTCGATAAAGCAAAATGTAAATCAAAGGTATCTTATTCGAAGAATAAGTAAGATCATTCACTAGGATGACGCATAGAAAAAATTTAATTAAATGAATATGATCTAAAACCAAACTTAGTAAAACTATGAATAAAGCAATATTGGGACAAATATGTCATATCAGAATTCAAAGGCTAATCTTACTATCTTAACAAGTAAAGCACAAAATCATAATAACTTCACTAATTTGAACATCTCAAACTAATAACCCTTGACTCCTCTCTAATATTAGCCAACTACACCAGCAAATGCACCAAGTAGCAGTGGTAGTTTTCTAATTAACAATCTTAATTAAACAGTTAATACGACAATCATTAACAATGCTAGGCTTAAAATATTCAGAAAGAGATCTAAAGCATCATTTTAGAATTCAGTGAAAGCACTGAATGATTAACAGCATTAAGACAGTTCGAGAGGTTCTCACAAAGATTCATTCAGATAATAGAATTTTTAGATCTAAAATTTTAATATGATGTTGTGAAGGGGAGTTATTAGCAATATTTTTGAAAGTCCCTTTAATGAAGCATGAATTTTTGTTATTCTATTTTAAGTTTTAATTTTTGCAAAAAAATTTATAAATATTAGTTTAGTGGGGTTTTGGGGTTTTGGGGTTTTGGGG